AGAGAAAGAGAGAGAGAGAGAGAGAAAGTCCAATGGCTAATATATCAAATAGAAATTAGGATACAGATAGATTGTGTGGGAGGGCTCAAACATGACATTTTGCCCACATGATAACCACATCAAATGGTTCCAAAACAGAAAATACAGAAAAATACATGTGAGACCTAAAGAAAAAACCAAAAAGTGCCAAAATACTGAGTTTCAGGTAGCTAGAGAGCGATCTAATTTTGTCTTGCTTCTGCCTCTAGTTCTAGGGAAGGAGCTAGCTAAAAAATTGGTACGATGTCATTATCAGTAGTAACCAATGTATGTCATTCCTCATCCGAAGATTGGCTCTCCTAATCAGTGGATTGGTTTAAAGTGTGTCGGACATGTGTAGATTGTTGAACTTTAGAAACAAATACTTGTTGTACCAGCTGATATTTTATCGGATCGAATGAGTACTCCCGTGAGTCTTGGCATGTAAGAGGATCTTCTTCAATAACAGTGAGTGATATAATCACATTTGGATCTGTACCTGTAGTATGGTGTTTTTCATCTAAAACTGTGGTGTTGGAAAGAGGATCGGGTTGCACCTTCTCAACAGGGATGATAGGTGGCTGATCTTTAACGATATTCACCCTTAGATGAGGTCTTATATGAGGATACAAGCAATAACAAATAGTAGAACTGCAACCAAACATACTACAATGAGAGCAATAAGGAGGGTGTGGTTCTATTTCAACCTTTTGTCAATGCCCATTGTGAGTAGTGTCAATCCATACCTCATCCGAATCTGGTGATAGCAAGCGTAGGACTATTAACCTTGAGAGGCTTACCGTAAGCAGTTGCTAAAGAGTAGAGAATTTTCAAGTTGAACAGATGTAATTTTAACCCAAGAAACTTTATCCAAACAAGAATGATAGAGGACTTAGCTTTTGGATCAAAATCGACATCCACTTCAGAGTTTTCATAAAACGGTGGTCGATCTTGATAACTTTTTGAGAAAAAATACGAGTGTAATTGACATCGGAAACAACTGAATAAGTATATGTTGGCCATCAAGTAAGTCAATATTTCAACTGTCCAATAGTTTCATAGCATCAAACTCTTTCCGAATGATCTCCAGTTTTGGGTGACCATAAAAAAATTTCCCCACTAGAGCAAAATTGGTGACCATAAAAAAATTTCCCCACTAGAGCAAAAAGTAAAGAGGACGCGAGAGTGCTTGTTTCAACCTCAATGAGAATTAGAGCAGGCTTCCCATTTTTTTTGCCAAGCTTTTTAATGAAAGTGTGATCACCACCACCTTTAATAGCATCATAGAAAGATTAAGAAACATTACAAGACTTGCCAATATGAAAACCAGACTCTGAACTTGAAAGAAGAGCACGAGTAGGAATGGGAAAGTCACCGATAAGTGCATTGACATAGGAATACATTGTCGAGGCCATCTCTAGAACGGCTAGGCGAGTTGATAGAAAAAGGCGAGTAGACTTCCGGGGGAACCTTCTGTCGAGCAAGGCGACAACGACGTCGTCGAGTGTGGGAGAATATGACGCGAGCTGCGATAGCTAAGGAGGAAGCGTCGTCGACTAGGAGACGCTGCGGAAGACTCGCAGAACACGACCCCACACGTGCATAACGCCGCCGAAGACGATCCTTAACCAGCCGCACGGACGCACTCTCACACTATCGCAAAAGACGAGCCGCGAAGATGTTGGCGCGCGATACTGAAGAAAACGAAAGAAGATCAAGCAAGAGCAATGGAACGGAGCGATATCGAAGAAGACGGCGCCATCATATGTATATATATATATATATATATGTCACAAGCCTTGGCCTGTTGATGGCGGGGTCACTGTAAGTCCCCTCAGGTCAAGAGTTTAATCCCACCGTGGCGCGGAGACTCTGGAATATGAGGTGTGTGGGAGCTGCTACGAGAGATATTAAGCCTTCAACAAGGAAAAGGACAAAAATAACGGAGAGACAAGCTTTGCAAGTAAAAAAACAATTTTCATGATTCCTTACATGAAAAAAGTTTGCATTAAGGTTGACAAGCTAGAAAGATAATATGAGAAGGAATTATTTTGAGATTATTTGAGTTTTATGTTGTTAAATTAGGAATTGATAAAAATTATGAAAATTAAGGTTCCTATATTAAAAATTAAATTTGAGCAAGTTCAGCCTTTATTAAAAATTATAATAGGTTAATGGGGCAGGCAACAACTATATAATATCAAAATACACCAAATCTAGACAAATATTATATAGCGCATCTAAGATTGACAAAAATTTGACAAAAAATAAAAGTAAACTAAGTATTTTGGTACTAGCATGTGACTACAAAGATGTATTAAATAATTGGACACCAGATAAGTATTTTGATGCTGGTTGTCGACTACCTAATGCAACCCTCCACTTTGCACATTCGGGCTTGGGACCGGCAATGACAATGTTAAAATTATGGGAAAAGGTAACTAAATATATGTTAAGACGTATTACAAAGATTTCTCATAATCAATTTGGATTTATGCCGAACAGATCTACTACGGAAGCTATACATTTATTGAGATGTTTAATGAAAAAGTTCAGAGATAATAAGGAGGATCTACATATGGTTTTTATTGATTGAGAAAAAGCTAACGATAAGGTTTCAAGAGATATCCTTTGGAGAGTTCTTCAGAAGAAATGTGTTGATATGACTTATATTCAAGTCATTAAAGATATATTCAAGTATGACTTATATTCAAGTCATTAAAGAAATGTATACTAGAGTTGTTATTTGTGTTCGAAGTGGAGGAATGACCAAATATTTTCCTATTTCTGTTGGATTACATCAGGGATCGACATTAAGTCCACATCTTTTTGCTTTAGTTATGGATGGTCTTACCGAACATTTACGGGACAATGTACTTTGGTGTATGCTTTTTGCTGATGATATCCCTATCGTGGATAATACGAGAGAAAAAGCCCACGAAAAAACTTGAATTATGAAGGTCAACATTGAAATCTAAAGGCCTTCATTTGAGTAGAACTAAAACTGAAGACATGGAATGCAATTTTAGCAGCAGTAGCTCTAGTGACAGAAGTGTAACTTTGGGTGATCAAATTATTAAAAGGTGTGAACGATTTAAATATCTCAGGTCTGTTGTTCAAAGTGATGGTGATATAGATGGGGATGTTACTGGTAGAATTCAAGTTGATTGGTTGAAGTAGAGGAATGTTTCGGGCTATTTGTGTGATAGAAAAGTACCGCTTAGACTGAAAGAAAAATTTTATAAGATGGTGGTAAGACTTGCAATGCTCTATGGAGAGCTGAATGTTGGCCCCTTTAAAAGAAAACCATAATACTAAGTTAAGTGTTGTCGAGATGAGAATGATAAGGTGGATGAGTAGCTTTACACTTAGAGACAAATGAGAAATGAATATATCCGTAATAGGGTTGGTGTTGCTCCAGTGATGGACAGAGAGAGCCATCTTAGATGGTTTGGTCACATTAAACGTCGACCAGCTGATGATTCGATTAGAAGAGTAGATGTTTTAGATTTGACTTACGTTAAGAAAGGCAGAGGTAGACCTAGGAAGACGTGGGCCTATTGCATAAAAAAGGATCTTAATTTATTAGAACTAAATGATTGTATGACACTTAATAGGACGCAATGGAGAAAAAGGATTCATGTAGCCGACCCCACGTAGTGGGATTAAGGCTTTGTTGTTGTTGTAGTTGTTATTGTAACCTTTATAATGAATAACAATTAATCTTGAATTTAGTAGTCCAATCTCTCTGCAAAGCATAGAACTCTACCATCACTAACTCAGTTTTTGTGTGGGCATCTATGTGTAGCATCGTAGTGATTCAATTATCATTGCTTGTTGAGTTGAGTTAATCATCAGTACTGTGCTTAATAGTTAAGCATTTGCTTTACTATATAATCATATAATTGAGCATGTGATGCCATGCTTGTAGGTTGGTTTAATTGAAAGCAAATTTTTATGCAAAGCTAATACAATGTGCTTAATATTGATCCCTCACATGATAACATTGCACATCATGTGTACAATATCGCCCAAATTTGTATGGTAATGTGCTTTGTTTTAAGTTATATTGATTGATTATTTTATTTCACTTTTTGTAATGAGAGAGTTGTGAGTTGTGATGAATTTGAAAAATGTTCTATGAAATTATTGTGCATCCAATTGACCCCTCTTGATGTAACTGGATTTGATAAATAACACCGGCAAAACTCAAGTGAATTGGCAGTCAATGCCAGGGCTAGTTGATAACAGAGCATTATTGATAAGGTCATGTTATTGATGAAAGTAGAAGGCTTCTAAGTACATCCAAATATCAAACAAAAAAAAAAAATTCAACCACCACGGACAAGTATTAAGCAGACCATGGCCACTAGCAGCAACCCTGTCTTGCTTCATGACAACTCTTTCCAACATTAGAGACTATACGTAAAGAAAATATAAAAGGTTGGCTCATCAAATAAATAGTCAGTTCAAAATAAATAGGCATGATAAATTACCAAGTAAACCATCTTTGAGAATGAAAAATACCTTTGTGCTTCCATTCAATTTATTTTCAAATTCAGATGTCCAAGCATGGTTCAGCCAGGATTCAGTTGTGACGCCTGAATCCTTGCCTTCAATGTACGAGATAATGCTAGAAGGAAAATTAAGCTGGAAATCCCAAGAAAAAAAAAGAGTCAAAATCGAAATAAGGTCAGCATAATCAAAAGAAGAAAAGTCGTTATTGCCTTAGTTAGGTTCGCTACAGGAAATGTTACTCCAACAAAAAGGCCGACCATAAATGCTATTATTGTTGTTACAAGAAGCCTCATACTCTCATTTGACGTCCTTTTAAAAACACTGCAAAATACAACATCAGCAATTGACATTTAGAAAAGTGCAATTATTCTTGAAAGAGACGTATATCATGTTACAAGAAAAGAATGGTTTAAGTTTACAAAAGATCCAAGGCATATAAACCTGCGTCCAAGAGTTCCAAGGTTTGCCATAACTTTCTACATCCAAATTCAAAATAACAAAAAAACGCTTTCAACCAAGAGCTGTTTAACATCGTTCATGAAGTTCATACTTGCTAGATATTCAGTAGATAAATTCAACCATCATGAAGATAAATGCGGCAGAAGAGAGAAATAACACCTGCAATATAATAAGCTTCTTTAAAAAGAGGTAATTTGGCTGAGAAGTAAAAGTTTCCAGAGAAAATGGAAGAAATGGTCATAAGCACCGAAAAGAAGAAAAAATTCACTCTCAGCAACCACCATAATTATTCTCCATAAAAGCAATTGGATGGTTAACGACATCAATTCAATTACCATGTAGTCCTAAAATCAATTAAGAAAATCAAAATAAAAAAGAATTATGAGTAACTTTCTCGGTATGCAATTCAATAAGGAAATACGCAGTTCACCTACCAGGTAATTTGGTATTAGAATTAACAAAGTGCAATCTGCCAATGAGAGGGAATGCAAATTAAACTTCATAAAAAAGTAAGACATGCAGCAAATTTAAATGAATCTAATCTGAATTACATCCATATCAGTGCTTATAAGAGAGTATAGTAAATCATTTGCACATAGATGTGCTTTTTCTTATTAGTAATAAGGCTAAAACAGAACTGAAGGAATATTGAAGGCACAAGCCCTTTCTGCATACGTATTCAGTTACATAGCCCTCCACAATAACTAAGATCTGAATTTTGGGAAATTAAGTGGTATATATGACGGTGGGAAACCGTAAATTCTCAAACATGCTTTCCAAAACAATAATGATCTTCAAACCCATTTTCTTTGCATACTTATCCACCAAATCATCATACAAAAATAAGTATATAAATAAAATAGAGCATACCTTTTCCTTATAGTAGGCTGATTTTTTGCAAAAATCTTTCTGAAGGATTTTTTTTACCTCTTTAAATGCTATCTCTTTTAGATGATTGTCCCCATCATTGCTTATCTCTCTACACCACCACCTTGATCATTACTTCAACAAAACAATCATTAGAAGTTTAACATCACACGCTAATCACTCCTTTTTTAGGTCTCTACCAAATCATCCAAATGTAAGGTTGATCATATTTCAATAATACCTATACCATTCAAATACCCTTCACGTTTTAATAGAAAATTCACAAAATTAAGTACAAGATTTGCTATAACTTGAGAGACGCCACATATTCCAGTAAAGGTATCATTAACCTTCTCCAATGTACAAATGCCAAAGCAAACATATCAATAAATAGATCATGACATATATAAGGATTTAACAGTATGAGCTCAAGCTAGCTTGATATGGGCCCAAGGCCACCGTAGTCAAGCAAATACTCTATCTTAGGAAGAAATCATGGGCTCTCAACCTCATCCCCACACCACAATTATGACCTCAACCTCGGTGATGCTCGACACCACCCACGAAACATGAAGGCTCCGCCAATGAAACTCAACCTCACTGTGATCGCAATGACCTAGACCAGTACAACCATTGCTTATGTGCTTGAATCCAATTACTAGAGACCTCATACCAACATATACCAACCGCTGCTCTCCCACCAACAATCCCTAGCCACATCATTCCCATTGATCTATTTATGCTCAAGATTTAACTTTCATTTGCATCCACGTGAAACAAAAAAATTAAAATTCTTCACATTCATTTAAAATTAATCAAACAAAGTTAAGGAAATTAAACTATAGTATATATAACTTAAAATATATATTTAATACATCATGATCCTAAATACTGGAAACCAAATAGCCCCTTAAATAATCATTGATATCCACTCACAGCAGCCATGCCACCAACCTCGTTGCAACCTTGCCCCATAACAGTCATAGTCCGCATAATCCCAATTATTAGTATGTACATGCCCTAGAATTGACTTTCCTTTACATTCAATCAAACACAAGAAAATAAAATTCATGACTTTATTATATAATCCATCAAACAATGTAAATAAATTAAAATGTAGTATATCTAATATAAAATTTATTCACAAAAAATCATGATTCTTAATAAGTGCAACTAAATAGCCCCTTAAATAATCACTGATATCCGCTCAAACTAAAAGAGTTCATTCTCGCCCCTTACAGGAAAAAAAAAAGGATCATTTTCTTGGCACTTCAAAACAACTAATCTAAGTTAATTCTATAGATCAGTTTCATTATTTACTTGAAATGAAGAATTGTCTTCACTGTCCCATCGATGACCAAATAACCTATATAGAATTTTGCTGTTCAAATCACAAAAAACCTATGTTACAAAAAAAATTTAGTATAACTCCCCAAAGGGCAGCAATTCCCTCCAAGACAGTCTTCCGCATCGGAATCTTTAAACTGTCGTATTGCCCAAAAATCCAACTAATAGATTTCAATCACAAAACTATTTTTATCATGCTGTACACACCCTCCCACCGCGAAAAACTATTTTTCCAATTCACTTAAAGAGAAACCACGCAGTAATAGGAAAAAAAAAAACCAATCGCGCGGACAAAATGAGAAAAAAACATGTAACTTCAAATTCCCAAACAAAGATCTATAATGAAAAAGGAAAGAGGGTATGGAAATATCGCGCAGAACGTAGGATTGGAATCAGCACAATTATAAAACTCCAAAAAGTCAAGGGCAGAAGGTCAGGACACGCACCTGTGCTGAGCAAAGGCGATCTCCCCTTGAAAAACCGCGTAAGTTCCGGCGGAAGCAAAAGCTTCAGAATAAGATGGTCATATATGGAATAACAATTCCAAAGGGGAAAGATGTGACCCGTTTTTCAACTTCCCCTGCCTTCTTCAGCACCGAGTATTTACAGAATTCTTCGTCTCCTTCTCAATTCCCCCTCTTTGGTACTCGTGACCCGTATTTTGAAGGCAGGGAAGGTAGGACAAAGAAATATTAGACTTTGGAGAAATTTTTTGCGTGGAGGAAGGGGGTAGAAGAACGACACCAACGAAGACAAATCAAAAGAGGTTTCGGCCGAGAGACGGGAAGATCAGTAACAAACTCGGCGTGATATGAAATGATCAATCTCTCTTTATATGTATAGAAGTAAATAACATATATATATTGCTTGCCAGATTTCGAGCAAATAAAAATAAGTGTATAGAGCAAAATTCTCCGAACGGCCGCTGCTAGGGAAATAACAGGTGGTTGTACACACACACACGCAGGCTCATCAAAGTTATGGAAAGTATTTATAGGTAAACGTTAGCTATGCATTTATTTACTTGCTGCACCGTATCTCCCCGTACGGGGTATAGCAGATGAATGTTAATAAAGGTCATTGTTGATGAAGTTACAGAATTCTACTTTACGACCTTTGAGAACGTGCTAATATTAAATGTCTCCAATTCTTGGCTAATAACTTTTTTGTTTCGATAACCGATTTCTCCGAGGACAATTAAATGGAATTCAAATATAATCAATAAATTTATAATTAAATCTCCCGTTCTATGTAATATAGCTAATAACTTTATTGTTTCTATAACCGTTTTCTCTGAGGACAATTAAATGGAATTCAAATATAATCAATAAATTTATAAAACTATTTAAAAAATGATATATTTTAATAGTATGGCTAGTGTAAATCATTGAATCTCTCCTTCAAATCTTTTGCCTATGTCAAGCCCACAACCTTTCTCCTTTGTTACCCCTATTGCCACAAATTTTGTGTCCATATGAAGGCTGTATTTGTTAGCTTTTTCAACCTTCATCACTCCCAATACCATAGACTACATGAAAATGCAACACCTTTTGATCTTGCTAACGTTGTTGAGCCATATGAAGATTGCAGCCCCTAATTTTTTCGAACTTTGCAACTACCTTGCCAATCACATGTTGCCTTTATAAAGCTTCACTCTTCAAGTCGCAAAAAAATATATTTATACTATTACTAGAAATAATTAACTAGTTAAATTTTCTTATAAGCTTTAGACTTTGCTTTTCTTATGTCATATTATTCTAGATAGCTATGAATTAAAGCTCATATCTGATATTTCTTATGTGATATGTGACCCGACCCGCAATTACGCAGTAATTTAGCTTCCAAATAATAGCAAAAAACTTGACCCAATTTATATTTAGCGGCTAGTGTGCAAAATCAATATGTTATAAAATTTAGAAAATAATTTACACACTAGGGATTTACACAACTAGGGATACTATGCAAGTATATGTATCGTTTCAAGTAATATATGGTTTTCTTTAAAACCCAGTATCGATCCTACAGAGAAGTGAGGTAAAAAATCCCTTAGAATAAGTTGTAGTCTACTATTATAAAGTCTTAGTTTTGGAAAGTCGATTAAGATGATATTTTATTTAGAAACTGCTCCTAAATGCAAATATTAAATGTAAGGATACCAACTATTTCTAAATGTAAATATTAATTCTAAAGTTAACTTATCTGGATAAATTAGTTTGATGAATTATGAGATGTAAAAACTATCATTCTCAAATGTGATGACATAGAAAATGTGAAGGAATGAAATGGATAGAATTTAATGTAGTAGTGACAAATAAGAGCAAACTGATTCTTTACATTTTCCTAGCATAAAGAACATTGGCAAATCTAAAGTTGGTGTCGACATGTATAGTAGTGTTGGTTAAGCTCTAGTCTCTCACTCCTAAATTACCCACTGTACCCTCTCTATAGGACATATTAGTGACCCTTAGTTCCAATCTCTAGACCAAATTGATAAAAGGATCCAATCTGTCACTCTATAAACATCAATTTTACGTCCATCAAATCTTATCTCTCTATCTATTTTCGCTTCCCCTCGGATGATCGCCACTGATCTTTTGAAAGTGAAATGTGGCTCTACTCAGTTGAGAATTATACCGCCCTCTCGAGTCAATGCAAATATAATGGATTTTAAGATTACAATAGGCTAAAATTGCAATGTAAATAAAGTTCAAGTGAATACCGTCAAATTAATGATAAAAATAATTCTAACATGCATTCCAAAACATTTATCCAAATCATAGCAAAGGAAAAGTAAATGAAAATAACGACATAAGCAGTAAAAGGATTTTATAGAATCTTGTGCCAACAAGGAACATATGTTTATCTACCAATCATCTAAGTGTATAGATACCCTTAGTATTCTATTAGTTTTGAGCAACTTGTCACCTAAAAACTCTTAATAGAAATAGATCTTTAAATTATATTTCCTTAAAAGTTGCATTGCCACCCAAACTACTTCATCATAGCTTACCAGACAATGTGAGTGCACTCAAGTTATAAGATCACCGCTCTCTCGAGTCTTAGTTTCAATTACAACAAATTTTAACATAATCAATTACCACTTAAGTTATGCCAATGAAGTAAAGGAGATTTTACTCATCACAAGAGATTGAAATCTTTCTTTAAGAAAATGAATTTTCTTACACATGTCATTACTTCAAATCAAAAGAAAAGAGTAAAGAAAACTACTCACAAAGTATGGAGAAAACAAAACAGAAAATTTCATTAAATAAAAAAAAATACACTATAAAGTGTTTACAATAGTTACAAGATAATGAAGAACACAATACTTAGTTTTTTTTCCCCTGAAAGAGAGATGAAAATCTCTCCAATAAAGACTCCTGTTGATCCATGCTCTGATCAAACAATTCCCTTACACATTTCTCTCAAAATCCCTCACCAATCTCTCCGGACATGATGAAAATCTATATCTCCTTCAAATCACACCAAACTTTCTCTAAAATCCTTCTAAAACTTCTTCTAATGCTCTTCTAATTACTTCTCATGAGAGGCGTCAGTCCCCTTATTTAAAATAACACAAAAACCCCTCCTTTCTCCAAGAGAAACATCTCTTCAACCAAAAGACACACCCATTCACTCCAAGAGACACATTCCTTCATCTAAGAGAATTTTCAAGTGTTTAGATTCATTTAACCACTCAATGGAGCATGCAAGCCATCCATAACCTTCTAGAACATCACAAAACCACCAAAAACCGTCTAAAACCAACCTTGGATGGTCTCTGGCACCTAGACGTTGTTTGTCCATCGTCACAGGCGCCTAGGCTCCAATTTTGGGTGCCTAGGCGCCACCCTGCAGATAGCTCTACCGTTTTGTCTCGTTTTGCTCTGTTTCAACTCCATTTCGCCACGTTTCAGCTCCATTTCGCTCCCAATTGTTATACCTACAAAATAAGCATAAAATAAACTTTATTTGAAGTGTAATTTCATTCCAAAATATGTGATAAATTTAAGTAAGATTAAGCATAGAAATATATCAAAATGTGTCAGGTCAAAATTTTCTTTCTTGCTCTTTTTTGAACCCAAAGTGCATTTCTTTTGCTCCATTTTCTCCAAAAAAATTTTCTTGTACTTGGACAAAAAAAAAGTAAAATACCTTCCTTTAAAGTGCAATATCATAAAAAATGTGCATAAAATGAACATTAGATGTATACTAAAAATAGGTAATTTTCAGTTGGATTAATTTCCCCAAACTTAAACGTTACTTGTCCTCAAGTAACACTATAACTTTAAAAACTAAATTTTTTAACTTGTGGTTGTGGTTTTCTTATAGATAACCTAAAATTTTGTTTTAGAAATGTTATAGTCCAACTTAGAAGAATTTCTAGTAAAGTAGAAACATTTAGTACTAAATTTAGGAATACTAATTTTCTATTTAATTCAGACTTAGTTGAAATTTTTCCAAACTTTGGATTTCTAGAAAAATATTAATTTCAGAATTTATTAATTCTATATTGAAAAAAAAAATTACTAATACTTTCTGATATTAAGCATAGAATTGATCTTAAGTTTTCTTCCTTAGAAAGATTCAAGTGAAATCAATTTTTAGTTAGGTCATATTCCTCAAGCTTCGTCTCCCTTTTTCATAATTTTCTTTTCTTTTCTTTTCTTTTTCTTTTCTTTTTCTTTTTCTTTTTCTTTTTCTTTTTCTTTCAAGATCTTTTTAACCCTTACTTTTTTTAGGCGAGGATTATTATATTTGGATAGGCCTTCAATGATTTTGAATTTCACTATCACTTTTCTAAAGTTAAAAACTTATTTTCTTTCCTTAACTTAAAATCTAGTATTAGTTTTTGAAAAAGAACTTTCATAGAATCTAAATTCTTTAAAAAGTATTATTCTAAAAATATTTAATTCTTCAAAAATTCAATTTTTCCTACTATAAATAGTAAAAACATTTCCCTACTATTTTCTACTAAATATATTAACTTTAGTGTCATCCTTTTTACTAAATTTTCTATTAAGTTCCTCTTTATCATTTCTAAAAATAAAAAATTTAGTCTCCTAATGATAACACCACATACTATATGTCATTTTAAGAAGTGATATTGAATTAAAGTTAAGTTTTAATACTATATGTCTTATACAAGCTACTAAGGGCAAATAAAGTTAAGTTTTAAAATGATTTTTCTTTCCGCCAAACTTGATTCTATACATGTATAAGATTAAGTACATAAAATATAAGTAAGAAAAAAAACAGTTTATAAATTATATCTATCACAAATATCTATCAGGAACATCTATAACTATTAATCAGGATAGAAATCTGCAGCAGAGAGCAAATCTAAACTAAACATGTGAGAATGAAATTTACTAAAGAAAAGTCTTAACTATCATAATAGGTATCAGCATAGAAATATAAAAATTTTCTTTAAGTTCTTTATGTTGTTGTAACACAAAACATAAGCACACATGATAAAAGAGGTTAATTCATTCTTTAACTCATCGCATCTCACTATCTTACTTCAACTTACTAACATAATCACTACACAAATATTTTAAGTGCCTTTCATGAATTTTATATGGTTATCCACATGGACAAGCTTGCCCCTGTTAAGTTGGGTCGCGAACACTAACCTTAGGCATCACCTTATCCCAATTAGTATGCAACTCAAACAATTATAAAGATAGTGCAAGATCATTCACATGTTACTCATTATGTTGGTCATGACTCCTACCAAATGAAAACAAGGTCAAAGAAAGGAAATAACAGAATTCAGATGGAACTATCACTATCTGAACACAAGATGCCTCATGTAAAACTCAATTCCAGTTAAAACTCAAGTCGTAGTTAACTCGTCAATCCAACTTCTACAAGAGAACATATACAAGTCTAACCATAATAAGAAGTTAAGAAATCACTGATGCAGGTGGATTTAGTGTGTTAATTTTGTAAATATTTTTCAATATACACAT